TACCTACCTACATACCTACATACCTACATACCTACATACCTACATACATACATACATACCTACATACATACATACATACATACATACATACACACACATACATACACACACTGTATACATATCTTCAATCATGATATAGACGTTTCTGATTTCTAGTTGACCCAGGCTCTACGCGCACGGTGGCACGCCTGCTGCGGATCAGGCACAGGGCATGCTCCATGGAGACCTGGGCGGCTTCTTAATCTTTATGGGCCCAGAATATAGGATGGAAACTAGCACTGTAACCCATCCTCAACTTGCAATCCTGCTATTGTGGAAGCCTGAACCATTACCAGTGTAATGGTGTCGTACTCCTTGTATAGTAATTTAAATTGTGGGGGTTCCTCGAGTAGATCTCGAAACGACATTGGTTTTTAGTTGGGCCTCTACGGGGTTGCTTTGACAGGCTCGCGACTTCAGCAAGCATAGATCCCCTGGACAGGAGCTGTACCTTCGAAGAGGAGGTGGCGACACCTTGTTCCTGTGGGATGACACTGGGACTTGTTTCGTCCTGTTGATCGCAGAAAATCTTGCGCCACAGAAGGCCCACGAAGACTAGCGCAATGTCCAAGATCTTGGGCGCTGAAAGATGCAGGGTTCTGCGGGAGGTTTTCCACCAGCAATAGCAAGAAGGGGCTCGGGACACCTTTCAGGTTGTTGGAAAAGGGCGGGAGGCAGCAGGCAAGGCTGATGGAAGCCTTTTCGAGTGCTCGGGGTTGGCTGTAGGTTTTGCTCTCGATGTTTATTCAGCAGATCCAGATCAATCCCAGCCGCAAGTGATGACTACTAACCCCCACCCCCACCCCCGCGCCCAGAGAATACATATTCCATCATCTTCCCAATACAGTAAATTCATTGTTATTAGCAGGGGTGTTGGGGGTCTAGTATTTCAAGTAAGGCACTACAGGAAAAGTCCAAGAATTGCGTAGTGTGATTTCCATCCATCCATCCATCCATCCAGCCAGCCAGCCAGCCAGCCATCCATCCATCCATCCGTGCATGCATACTTACTGTTCGTACATACATACATACATACATACATACATACGTACATACATACATACATACATACATACATACACATACATACATACACACACATACATACATACATACATACATACATACATACGTACATACATGCATGCATGCATGCATACATACATACATACATACAGACATGCAGGCATGCAGACATGCAGACATGCAGACATACAGACATACATACATCCATACATCCTTTCATACATTCATACATTCGTACATGCATGCATGCATGCGTGCATGCATACATACGTACATGCGTACCTTCGTACATACGTACATTCATACGTACGTACATACGTAGATACGTAGATACGTGCATAAGTACATACGTACATGCGTACATGCATACGTACATGCGTATATAAGTACTTACGTGCATACATACCTACGTACGCGCGTACATACATGCATACATACATACACAGATACGTACATGTGTTGTGTTCTAAATGCCTTGCAGCTTGAAGTAAGGACCGGAAGACGCTTGCAGACTATGGCGTCAAGCGTGGGGCTTGGTTCTTTGGGTGTGCTTTTTGGGTACTAGTGGTTGGTAAGTAGGGTAAGGTTCGTGGATTATGGTTTAGGGTTTGGGTATTAGGGTTAAGGGTGTAGGGGGACTGCTACAGATTCATACTTTCGTTTTCCCTCACCACCGGTAAGTCGATCGCAGGGTGTGTATGTTGTGAAGAGGAACAGATCTGTGTTTTGAGACGACTGTCTGGGAATGTGGTAGTCAAGGTTGTGGCTCCTAATTGCTTTGCAAGCTATCAGCTATTAATGTGTATAGATAGACTGTATACCAGCACTCGGAGAAACCATGGGTCAGGTGGTGTATTATATTTCATAGTAACCTTCCAGTGACGCCATAGTATCCCTTCGACACTGAATCGAAACCAAGTCCTGGACAGGCGTGGTTTAGGGTTTAGGGCTATTGTTGCTGCTATTTCGGAGTAGGCGCTTTTCAAGGTCCGGACAGTGGTCTGTAGTGCACCTAGCTAGACCAGTTGCAGACAAGGAACGGCATGGAGATCCACATCAAGGACTGTTGCTGATTGTGAATGATGTTTTAGGGTTTAGGGTTCCATAAATGGGGGGCCCCAAATTTCACCTCAATATAGTATATAATCTTGAGATGTGGGGCCCCCAAAAGCCCCCACCTCAGATTCTCATTACTTAAAGATCAGAGCTGCTGACTTAGGGCTAAGCTGCGCATCCGAACTTCCAAGGCCTATAACCCCCAAGCTCCCAACCCCACAACCTAAGGCCTAAGGCTTAAAACCCCCGGACGATGAGCACATTGACTTGGTGTATGATTGAGAGGGGTAGTGGTTTTCGTTTTCTTTGGGTATTGCGCGCAGCTCAACAGCATTCCCGAGCCGCGTTAGTTTGGCATCGGAAAGGGCGGACGGGATTTCAAAAAAAGCTTCAAACCCCCAAGGCCTAAACCCCAAACCCCAACCCCTAGATCCAAATCCCCCCAGCTTCCTGGGAGAGGACACCAATCCATACTCGCTCTCTGCAAACGGAGGCCTCGAAGATGTTAGCCAGGCCCCTGCCTACAGGGTTGAGGGTTTGGGGGTTTAGGGTTTAGCGTTTGAGGTTTGGGGTTTAGGGTTTGGGGCTTTAGATTTTAGAGTTTAGGGCGTCTTGCTGCGCGGCGGGTGGAGGTAACATGTAGAAATGGCGCCCCGACACACCCAGCGGTGTGGGAGACGGCATATCTGGCGACAGCACATCTCTCATGCCCAACAAACCAAGAGTTGGTGTGTTGGTTTATTCTTCCCACCATTTGCTTGCGCAGGCATCCGCCCAACTTTTCCGGGTTTCAGGCTGACGCCCTAAATTCCCACTCTTCTTTCTTTTCTTAAATGCAAGCACGGACGCTGCAGGTGGGTCTTCTTCCCACTTTTTCTCTAAACCTTCTCCGAGGCCTCCGAGCGCCTCCGAGGGCCGCCGAGGGCAGACTCTGAGTTCAAGACAACCCTAAACTTTCCCTAAACCCGACAAGCTTGCGGCAAGGGTGTGCCAGCGTGGGCTCCTGCAGGTCAGGGTGCGTGCCTGGGTGCTTCAGGACCAGCGCACCCACTCACTGAGACATCCTAAGCCCTTCTCCTCCTGCCCCCGCACCTGGAGCAGATCAGACTCCACAAACTGTTTCGGCTTGCATAGTAGCTCCATGCGATGGTGTGAATAGTTGCTGGATATAGTTCTCGGGTGCGGCCTAAGCAGGCCTGGGTGGGAATTTGGGGTTTAGGGTTCAGGGCTGAGAAGGGTTTGGGGTTTAGAGAGTTTGGGGTATAGGGTTTAGGGTTAAGGGTTTGGGGTTTGGGGCTTAGGGTTCAGGGTTTAGGGTTTGGGGTTTAGGGAGTTTACGATTTAGGGTGTAGGGTTGGCGGTTCAGGGCTCTTCAGAAACTATTGATCATGGGTTCTTTGAGTATTGTACAAGGTGGTAATGCAGGGTTCGAAGGACCATTAGGGATATACAGGGTTTATATCGGGATTATATAGAGTTTCTCCAACCTTTTCTTACGGAAACTAACCTGCAGTACTCGTAGTTTAGGGTGCAGGGCCCAGTGGTGCTTGAGAACGGGTTCGGGTCTAGAAATAGACAAGGAGATGGAAACAACCCCTCAGAATCATAAAGAGTCAAATGGAAAAGGGCATGGAACATTAGATTAAAGCTATTACAGGGCTTACGGCTAGGATTTGAGGATCTAGAGGGGTTAGGGAATATTGGCGAGCCAAATGGACTAAGTGGAATTTCCAGGTCACTTTAAAAGGGGTTTAAGGATATAACGGAGAATCAAGGAGAAAAGAACATGGAGCATTAGATGGAGATTGGGATACTACTTGACGGTTGATAGCAGGAGGTGGAAAGGAACATGTGGCTTACAATTTTGCATCCATTATAGAGGATTGAGTATACAGGGATTGTTCTAGGTGATACGGGCACTTCGGCTGTATAATGGACAACCAACTGGAAAAGAACATGGCAGATGAAATGGAAGCTGGTGCTGCATGGGTTTGGGTTTACTAGTGCTCAAGGCGAACTTCGGGTTTAGGAACGGACAAATGCAATTGGAGAATCACATGGAAAAGCACCGGAAAATGCAATGGAAACTGGGATTGTACCGTGGGTTATAGCTAACATGGATATTATACTTCAGGATTTAGGAACGGAAAAGGACATGAAAGGACATGGAAACCGAGATATGACTCAGGGTCTAGGAGTCTAGAAAAGCATGTAAAGGTTTGTACATTATGTACAGTTTCGGGTCGGCAGGTTACTAGTAGCTTGGTCGTACTGGTGGTGAAGCTTATGGCATTATGAGAAAGGCTCTGCTGGGATTATGCGGACGTTGCTCCCCCACTCTCGCTTCTGCGGGGGTGTAGGGAATATGTAGAAAGTATGGTCATGAATGGCTCGCTTGGGGTACGTTGGGGACAAGTTTTCTGTAGGGTTTCCGAGGTCTCATTTGGGTTCCACATAGGGAGTACCGTATTTTGGAGACATAGAGTCTGGGTTTCTATGCCCGGAATTCTTGGGAAGTCTCCATTTGGCTATGTCACGATCCCTTTTGCCTCCCTTCATGCAGCATGATGCGTGCTGCTAGTGGGTTTCTAGGTAAGAGGCAGAGCCTTCCTAGAAGTAGCCGCCCTAATTTGAAAGTTAGCCGTGTGCTACTCTTCAAAGTGACAGATGTGATGTGCTGTTGTTTGGGTTAAGAAAATCCAAGCCTATTTGCCTCAACCCTAAATCCCACACCTCCAAACCCTAAACCGTGAAGCTCTTGGCAAACCGTCTGCCAATTTTTTTTTCAGGTGGAGAAGTACGTCATGTCAGATGAGGACCGAGCCGCACGCCACATGTGTTCCTTGTTCCTGCGAGTTCTATGCGGGGCTTAGGGCTTGTTTGCTATGCAGAGATTATTTAAGTTATGCAGGAATTAGGGTGGGGCATATATCAGGGTTATGTAGAGATTATGTAGGGCTAATATAGGGATTAGGACGTTTCTCATGGCATTTGCTGTATCATCCCCAGTAGGCCCCCCCTAGAATCCAATGGTCATCCCCATGAGAAAAATCCGTGTGGTGCCATACCTTGCGCAGCTGCTCTTGGTTGGATGCAGTGGACCATGACGAGTCTCCCTGAAGTTGAAGCATATGCAGGCATATGACAAGCTCGACAACAGTGTCCGCGCCATCAAGCGCAAGGAAAAGGAGAAGGCAGGAGGAGTTTCAACAACAGCTGCAGGATGTAGAGTTGACATTATGTGCACGCTGATGTCCCACATATCCTTGGGTCCCTCAGGGCACCCTGTTTTGAGAGCCCCCCATGTTCTGCAGGCAGCGGCCGAACTGGCAGCCAGGATAGCAGCAGGTGAAGTGCCTGCCTTAAACTTGATGTAGGGCTAAAAAAAGGGTTGGAGTAGGGTTTAGGGGTAGATTCAACACTGTGTTCATCAGTGTATATGATCGTATAGAGTTCCCGGGAGGTATTGATGTGTGTTTGTATCGGTGTCCAATTTTGGAGCCCGACCTTGTATAATACTGAAATTCAATCAGGATTGTAGGGGAACAGCATTTCTAACTTTTCAGGCGGCAGTACGAATACTGAATTGGGAATAGGGGATGGACTCCTGTAGTCTACACAAAGCCTGTATGTATATACATATATATATATATATGAATGACACACGCCTTAGACCCTTATAGACCCTACGTAGAGTCATCCATATTATGAATACATATGCGTAAGAACCCGTGAAATTCTTGCCATAACCCATAGTGCATTCACTACTCAACATGAGGTAGCCTGCTCTGCTTTGGTGGATCCTTGACTTCGGCAATATCTTACTCTCGCTATGGAAGAGCTCCTGTAGATGCGCATTAAGTTTATAATTGTAGGAGGGTTTAGGGTTTAGATACCCAGTAGGTTTTAGGGTATTTAGGGCTTCCCGATGTCTTTGTCTGCAAAGGTCTGTCAATTGATTTTGAAAAAGTAGGTTCCAAGAGCATGCAGACCTCACAAGGCTGATGCTCAGGTCATAGAAGAAGAGCCTGCAGAAAGTGCCGAGGAGGCTGATACTTGGTTTAGTTTTTTGTTTACGATTCGGGTTCCGGGTTTGGTATTAGCGTTAGTTGAGGGTTAATAAGAGTCTAAGAAATAGAGGTTGGATGGAAGATTTGAAATTATGTACTGGCAATACTTGTCTCCCGGGAGTTTGGAAATGCTCCTTCTTGAGTCGTAGAACCTGCGGGCGCGTTCAAAAACTAGTTGAGTCCTGTAGGATTCAGAGGCGGATGTCCATGTGAGATTTGTGCCCTTTTATCCGCTTTCAGTGCCGGTAAAGTCCGTCGAGGTCCTCAGCATTTTGAATGTTGGCGGGCTGTCAGTTTCAGGAATTCCGACACAATTGGACAAGCACACTGGGAGTATGCGTGCAGGTCCTGTAGAGGGCGTCTAGGCCGGTATTGTTGGTTTTTGGGATGTTTCGCCCTTCCCAGAAATGCTAAACCCAAAGCCGCGTGTGCAGTTCCAGGTCGCAGAACGAATACCAATGGGTAGTCGATGCCAGGCCTTCTTGCTCTGAGGGGTGAATAGGCAGAAAGAATGAACCCTCTCCCCTAATCTTACTGGTTCTTCGCAAGGAATATGGGAATATAATCCCTACATAGTATATTACCTTATTCCTTACCACCCCCCTCCCCCAGTAAGTAATGCTTACCCCTCACCCCGCCCTATGAATAACACCCCCCCCAGCATATACGATGGTGAGTATGTATTGTTGGCGGGGGGGGGGGGTCATTGGGGGATGTGATTTCAAACGAATGCGTGGGCGTAGTGTAGAAAATTGAATGAATACAAAAATTATGGCTAAAAGACCCCAAAATCCCATCTAATCATGTATCATGTAGGCCACTACGTTATTCTATTTCGTCCAGGGCCTACGCAAGATTTCGCAGGTTCAGGGATTCGGCTTTCTCAAAGCAACATTTGTTCCGGAATCCTCATTATGTAAGGTCGAACGTATTTTGGCTATAGTTCCAAGGGACGTTTTGCGCGAAGAAACCCCGAAATGAGAACAAGGCGTTTCCGACTGTTGGGTTCTTACTAGAGAACAGGTGCAATTTGATTTCATTCCCAGGTTTGGGAATGGTGCTCTCAGCCAACTTCCATCTACGCCTATTTTTCAGGGTTTGCTAGACCTCACAGACACACGACCCACCTACATCGCCCGAGGATTTCATGATTTCAGCATTCGGCACCTTGTAAAATCCAGAGGCGATTCCTAAACCGGCAGGTTAAAGAGTTAAGGGCTGTTTTTTCGAACACATGTAAACCCTAAACTCTACATAATCCCTATATACACATATATATTCCTACATATATATATACACATCATGTCCCTATATACCCCTTATATATTCCCTATATAAACCCTAAACCCTACATAGCCCCTTGTCTCTTTGACAGGTGCAGCCTGGTGGCCGAAGAGGGGAGGTTGCCTTTGTCGGCGCAGTTCGGGGCATCAAGGCCTGCAGAATCATATGAGCTCTAAGGGGGTTCTATGGGGGATTATATAGGGAAAAATAGGGTTTAGGGTTTAGGGATTCGGGTTCTTTGTCTACCTAAATGAGCTGTAGTCTAAACTCCTTATAGGGTGTTTTTCAGGGGATTTTTTTCGGAGTTGTAAAGAGATAATGGAAAATAAAATGGACACATGGAGTTGTTCATTATTTGGGGTGTGGGCTAGAGGGCAAATTTTAGGGCATGGCGGGGTCCTCAACTTCGAGCGACATTCATGCTCACATTGCTTGTTACTTTAAAGACATTTCGTACAACAACATTATAGAATCATGATCACGGCTGCTGCCGCCGCATTTGCTCCTTTTCATCCTCAAGACTCCGCCTGCTTCGAATCCGCAACCTGCAGATGTTTGTTCCTTCTCTCAGTCGTCAACACCTTTGGAGCACGAGAAGGCTCAAAGATGATCGCAGGGCCAACTCCAACTCGCCCCCATGCGTTGGCTGTTTGCACTTCTGTAGGAGCACGAGAAACATCTGAGGGTCCTAAAGCGATGAGGGTCGCCACCCAGCCAGCGCGTGAGTGTCGACATGGCTGCCTTTCCTGCAACTGGGATCACTTGGGTCAGAGGGGCACAAGTCGCTGACAGTTGAGAGTTGGCCCACAGAGACCACCGAATTACATCGAATTTCTGCGGCGTGCCGCATCCCAAGAGTCCAACCCTTGCCGGACTACATCCTCACACGACTACTGCTACTGCTACGGCGACTGTAATTGTTACTGCTACCACCAAGGCTACCACTGCTGCTCTGACCATTACCACTACCACTACCCTGCATCTCCTGGATAAGAAATGGGTCTGCTAGGCATAGGGTACCCTTTGTTGTTAGCTAGGCACTGATCTCGCAGTTCCACTTTTCCATGTCTCCAGCTGTTGGGTACCTTCATTTCTTACTTCATTTCTTCTTCTGCGGTTCGAGCGGCAAGCTCCTCCGCGTTGCAAACTTCGATGTTGAGAGAGGCGCCTCATCCATGATAGGCCATAGAGCCTCCAGCCCCCCAATACGCAACGTAACGGCCCCCAAAAGAGCAAGCATAGCGGGGAATTTTATAGTAATAATTATCATAATTATTGTATATTCTTATAGCAATAGTAGCAATAAAATAGTACTATAGTAACAGTACTAATGGTAATAATAGCAATAGTAATAGTAATAACAAGAATACTAATACATCATAGCCCATCCTGGCAAGGAGGCAGGCGGGCCCTACTTTGCCCTTATTGCGGACCCTCCCAAAAATGAGAAACGCAGCCTAAGTTTCTCATTTTATACGGGTCTTTGAAGCCCCCAACCCGCCAAAAAATAAATGCAGCCCTCTGTATTTCTGATTTCCAGGCGGTCAGGGGGAGGGTTTGGGGATAGGGCTACGCTTTCGGGTGAGGAGTAGGGTAGCGGGATAGAGGCCTTAAACTCGTAGCCTCATTAAGTGGTTTCTGCAGCCCCAGAAGCCCCAAATGAGAAGCAGAGCCCCCTACATTTCTTGTCTTGGGGGTATTTGGAGGCCGGAAAACCGCCAAGCTAAGAACGGTAGCCCCTCACTTAAGGGCCCAGCCAAATAGAAATGGCCCCGAATCATTGGGCACCATTCCTTGTTTAGCTAGAGCGCAATTTTTTTCCTGTTATCCAGCCGAGGTAGCCCCAACATTTCTTAGCCAGGCATTTATTGTCAGTGAGCGCACCACTAGGAGACCACTACCACTCCGCTACCTCAGCCACCGCTCCTCCTCTTGCTGCTGGTGGCTGCTACTGCTGCTACTGCTACTACTGCTTCCGCGGAGCATGATGATGCCGACGATGGTTACTGCTACTTCCGCTGCTACCATCTGATGCATCGTGTTGTTGCTTGTGCTGTGCAACGCCAGCATATGGCAGCTCTGTTTGACTATAGGGCTGATTTGGAAGTGTTTGCAATCATTACGTACCAATCCTGTACGCATGCATGCAATCCCTGTCAAGCCATGAGGACTTAATTTCTATAGAGCCTGGAAAGAATCTGTGCTGTGCTGCAATTCAGCTCTTCAGGGCGTATGGATTGGAGTTCGTCTAGACGAGCCCCAAGGTCGCCGTTCCCGGTCTTCCTGGGTGGAGAGTGCAAGATACCAGATTCGGGGTCCAGCTTTGGAGTTCCGTGGCTTTGGGGAGATTCCAAACAAGAGCCTGATTTCAGTATCCCTTTCCTGTGCTAAGTTCGCTTTGATTCGTTCTGCAGAGGGTTCCTGGAACCACTTACTGCAACAGGAGCCAACGCACACGTGCAAAAACGGCTCAGGGTACTGGTGTGGTGCAGCTACAGTTGCACGCAGCTGTTGTCCTCTTTAAGTTTGAGAGGTGGGCATAAGCTGGCGCACTCATTGGTTCTACCACCCCCCCCTGCTGTACTACCCTCCGAAGGTTCTCCCTTCATTGACCTTAGCCAGCCCTAAATGGGGGTTTCCCAAAATTAGGGGTACCTTTTTGGGGGGTCCCTGTAATAAAGAGTATAGTATATTAGGGTCTACATTGGGGTCCCCCTATTTAGGGACACTACCAAATAGCTTTTCTAGAGGAACCCACGTTGGCGAGCCAGGCAACAATGACGGCTCAAAGGATGCCGAGCGGTACTTCAACTGCAAGGGTGACAAGTACGGCTGCTTTGCGAAACCTGACAACGCAGCTCAGCAGCAGATCAAGCTTCTACTTGGAGGGTCAGGGGGACATAGTAAGTGTATTCCTAGGGATCCAAGTGTACAAATAATACCTACATAGGGCGCAAAGTCTATAACTAGTACCTGCATTGGGCTATTTGGATCCCTAGGGTATGTTTAAGCCCTGCAAGCCATCCAGTAACCCGGGCTTGCCCCAGTATTAACCAACTTACTGAGACCCCTCAAGTACAATTCTACGGATCCTGCTTGTCGACATGCATTACTCCGCTTTCGTGTCGCTGCGCTTTTCGGAACGATTTGCGCCCGTGACATGACATGAATGCCACCTCAGTTACACATTGACGCCAAGGTCGAAGTTGGTGATTTTCCAGAGCTGGATCCATTCGCTTCTGATGAAGAGTTCTGAAGGAATTCTCTACCCAAACTGCGCCAAGAAGACGCGCAGTGGCCCAGGAATTCGAGAGGTTCAACCTCTGCAGGAAAATGCTGTCTGTCTGTTGTTGGACGGATAGACTGGATAGACTTTCAGGAGAAGCCTGCCTGCCAGGTTTTTGGTGAAGGGGTTTAGGGTTTGGGGGTTTAGGCTTTACAAGGGGTTTAGGGTCTGGGGGTTTAAAGTTTAGGGGTTTAGGGTTTAGGGGTTTAGGGTTGAAGTAACAGTTTCTGCAAGGATGTTCCGATTCGTCCTCGTTTTTGTCGTTGGTGTTGCCTTTGCTTTCGCGGGTGGGGGAGGCGGGAGCTGGGGGAGCTGCTGGACAAGGAGGTCCAAATACCGCATCTTTCATGTTTTCTCCGTCTGAAGGGCGGCTCAAGTGCGGCTCACGAAAGTTCAAGCGTAGATTGTACCTCTCGACTTGATTGGAGTTGCCCTCATGCCGTCGGGGACTCTCAGCTGCAGCAAGAAGCACAGAACCTGCAAAGTTGCCCTCTTATCGCAGTTTTGCAGGCATTGCCGTTGAGACTCTCCGCCATAAGATGTAAGTAGGTTACCTGGCCGCTTGGGAAACTACTACATCTGCGTCCAACACCGTAAAACACATCAGGGCTTTGCCCAGTAACCCCCAGATGCTGCCCAAGGGGAACCTGTAATTTCCTTTTCCTCGGGGCTTGTAAGTGTCCGCCATTCTGACAAGAATACCCCGAATCTGGGGAACCCTAATTCCTGTAAACCCCGATCTTCCCCTAGTTTCGATTATACTTTCCATTTTCTTTTGCATTTGATTTTCCATTATACCCCAATATATAGACCCTAGTTTGGGAAATCCTTTTATCAACCCTAAACCCTATTGGGAGAATGCAAGGAGCAAAGCAGCTGCCGGTGGAGGCGGCGGCTCCGCATCCGGAGGCTCGGAGCACTGTGTGGCACGCAGCACATTGGAACTGCCCCAATTCCAGTGTAGTACGGATCCTCACATGAGTAGTATTTTTTTTGGGGATACTAAGGTTCCCAGTATAGAGTAAGATTCTATCCTCTCTTTGGAGTATCGTATTTTGTACAAGGAATAGGTTTCATACCCATCGTTTGCCGCGCTTTGCGGCTAGAACGTGTAGGTTTCATTGCCCAGCGCAAGGGCTTTGCATGCCAGGTGGCGGAAGACAATCACCAAAAAATTGGGGA